TGTGTGTGTGTGTGTGTATGTGTGTGTGTGTGTATGTGTGTGTCTTTTCTTTGTGTGTCTTTTCTTTGAGATACATCAACCCTAAAGCCTTTCATCTTCATCTCCAGCCAAGACTCCCGGCTGCATTTCCAGACCCAACTGGTCTGAGTCCCTTCTCACCTCTCTTACTACCGGCTGAGATGCCTCTCTGGGTGGGGCTGCCAGATAAAATATAGAATGCCCAGTAAAATTTGAATTTTAGTTGAATAAGATGTCATTTTTAGTATGAGAATGCCCCAAATATTGTATAGGATATACTGAAAACTTACATGCTGTTTATTGAAATTGATATTTACCAAAGCTTTCCAGACTTTCATTTGCTAAATCTGGCAACCCTATTCCCCTATGAGCCAGTACCACACCCCTGCACAGCTGTGACCTCCTCTTTCTCCCAGCTCTCTTCGTGTCCCTGTAAGCCCTGCTATCCCAGTGTCCCAAGCTCAGCCTTCACTGTTCCAGGGGACCCAGCCAGTCAGTGGCTCCTGCCCACTCTTTAGAAACACCCCCCTTTCTCCAGCCCACTGCCATCCGTGGCTCCACGCCTAGACAACTGTTGTCCCAGCCTTAACACCTCTGTCTTCATCTAGCCCCCACCAGGTGAACATTCCTCAAGTGTCCCCTTGACCACGCCACACGCTGCTTCAGCCTTTAATGCCCCCCACTGCCCATGGGAGAAACTCCCAACTGCAAGGCTTATAGCAGCCTGTTCCCACTGGCCTTCCCAAACGGACTTCCTGCAACCCACCTCCCTCCCCCGTCCTTGTGGTCAGAGGACCCTCACATACTCCCTATCCTTCAAGTGCAACCCCACTTTCCCATGAAGACCCAACTCAAAGGGCCCATTGTCTGTAACGGCCCCCTGACTGCCCAGCTTGGACAGGCTTCTCCTGCCCTCCTGTGTCCGCCTCTGGCAAAGTACACATGCACTGCCTTCTACATCACCTTGTTTTTTTTTTTAGAGACAGGGTTTCTCTGTGTTGGTCAGGGTGGTCTCCAACTCCCAACCTCAGGTGATCTGCACGCCTCGGCCTCCCAAAGTGCTGGGATTACAGGCATGAGCCAGCATGCCCGGCCTATACTTCCTCTTAATCTGCTCTTGGGTCTTAAATCTTATGGTAGTTTAGCTATGAGCTTATCTTCTCAACTAGATTGGAGGCTCCCTTAGGGCAGGAAAAAGATTGCATGCCTATTTCCCCTACGGTCTCTGGCTGAGTCCCAGGCCAGAGTATTCGCTGGCTTATGCATGGGTTCTGCACTCCCCTGGCCACTGTCAGAGTGAGTGGGCAGGACCCCTGGGCATGTCCCAGGCTCGCTCACTCTCAGGTGGCAGGCCATGGCTGTGGGCCCCAGAATGCATGCAGGAGGTAGGGCTGAGGCTGGCAGGAGGCTGACCTGGCTCACAGTGTGGGCAGCATGCTCCTGGCTCAGGGCAGGGTCCTCTTGGGCATGGTTTCTGGGTGCAGGTGATGGCCCCTTCCTGTGGGAGCAGACTGAGGTGGCTGCACAGGCATGAGAGCCCCGGAGGGCAGGGCATCTGGAAGCAAGCCCTCAGCCCAGGTTGGGACACATCAGAGGGACAGGAGGATGAGTTGGCTCTGCAGATGTGGGCTACCCTCCAACTAAAGGCAGAAAAGAGACATCCCGCCCCCATTCCCATCATCTCCTGATGCTCTTGACCCTGGAAAACCATCTGTTCCAGGCACCAGCAAATTCCCCAGAGAGAAGAGATCCTAGGAAGAGAACCAAGGGCTTTCTCAATGGAGAAAGGAGGAAGAAAAGGCTGGGGGAAGGTGGATGTGGAGCCTGGTGAGGGAGAACTGGCAGGCCAGGGGCTCCGAGGTAGAAGATGGGCAGTGGAAGAGTGGGAGGTGACATAGGAGGACAAGCAACTATTAGGTTGGTGCAAAAGTAATTGCGGTCTTGGCCATTAAAATCATGTCAGGCCAGGCACGGTGGCTCACGCCTGTAATCCCGGTACTTTGGGAGGCTGAGGCAGGTGGATCACCTGACGTCAGGAGTTCAAGACTAGCCTGGCCAACATGGTGAAACCCTGTCTCTACTAAAAACACAAAAAATTAGCCAAGGATGGTGGTGCCTGCCTGTAATCCCAGCTACTCAGGAGGCTGAGGAAGGAGAATCGCTTGAACCTGGGAGGCAGAGGTGGCAGTGAGCTGAGATGGTGCCATTGCACTCCAGCCTGGGGTACAAGAGTAAAACTTCGTCTCAAAAAAAAAGGGCATGTCAAAAACTGCAATTACTTTTGCACCAACCTAATACATCCTCAGCCCTCCATGCCACTGTTGGCCAGGTCTGAATCGAGAGGCTTGGGGGCCCCCCAACTGTCCATGGGTGTCAAGCTCCTCTTCCTACTCGGAATCAACTGAAAGGCGCCGTGGCAAGGTGTGGGGAGTGGCAGGCAGAGCTCATTCTACCACATCTCAAGTGCCATGTTGCAGCGACCAGGAGCTGAAGTGAGGCAGACAGACAGGTGAGGGATATCCAGGTGGGTCCCGAGAGCTCACCAGACAGCGGCAGGTGGTGCAGGCATCTGGGGAGAAGGTCTCCCCGTTGCTGTAGGTCTGGCCATTCTGGCTGCAGCCTGAGGAGACCGCACTGTCACTCAAGCACCCAATGCCATCTGTAGGCCTTGAGGTGGCCCTGGGGGACAGATAGGGTGGCACTTACCCCCGCAATGGGGCAGGTGGACTTGGGGGCCACAATGAGCAGCCCCATCCCGGCAGACACAGGCTGTGCAGGCGTCAGGCTCCCAGCGCGCCCCCTCCGGCCAGGCACGCCCCAGCCCCCAGCACTGCGGAGACGCAGGGCGGCACTCACAGGACTCCAGCCGCCTCACCCTCATCTGCAGGTCCTTGTTCTGGAGGAAGGAGATGGGAATAGCAGGCACTGGCTCAGCTTCCCCCATTATCTCCAGTAGATTTGATGGGTTCGAAAATGAGGAAGGGTGAGAAGAAGTTTGACAATGCTAGAGCAGAGATGGGTCCCCCCGGTCAGCATCCAGTTCAGAACATCACCATTCTCAGGTGAGCATGGGCCCCATGCTCTCCTTTGGACAAAATGAGGACCCAACCCCTGCCCTAAGAATTACAGACATCTTTACCCAACCAAAATATTTCTTCATGATGCCTTATATAGAACACATTTCATAACATTTCCCAAACACATGAAGGGTATGAAATACAGACTGACAAAACGAATAGCCTGGAGTTTCTTCACTTGTATGAAAGAACTGATGTTAAGAACTGTTCAGGCTGGGCGTGGTGGCTCACGCCTGTAATCCCAGCACTTTGAGAGGCTGAGGTAGGCAGATCACCTGAGGTCGGGAGTTCAAGGCCAGCCTGACCAACACGGAGAAACCTCGCCTCTACTAAAAATACAAAATTAGCCAGGCATGGTGGTGCACGCTTGTAGTCCTAACTACTTGGGAGGCTGAAGTACGAGAATCACTTGAACCTAGGAGGCAGAGGTTGCAGGGAGCTGAGATCATGCCACTGTACTCCAGCCTGGGTGACAGATGGAGACTCGAAAGAAAAAGAAGAGAGAGAAACAGGGAAGGAAGGAAGGAAGGAAGGAAGGAAGGAAGGAAGGAAGGAAGGAAAATATAAAAGAACTGTTCAGATAAGAGCCTTTCCATGTGCATTGAAAACAAAGCTCTATTTTAGCTGCCCACCCCACCCCCCACAAGCCTAACCCCTTCTCTCCTTCCTACTAAAAGAAGCCCTCCCTACCCAATACAAACCAACCCTGTCTCCATGGTACCTGTTCTCTGAGCTCCACCACTGCAGCCTCCAGTCGCCCCAGCCACTCTCGCAGGGAATGCCACTGCTCCTGGGGGTCCCCAGCAGGGGCTGAGGAGTGGGCAGGCGTCTGCCGCCCAGGGGGCTCCCTGGGGACGGCCCCACCTGAAGGGCACAAGAATCCCATGTGGGCCTGAGGGTGAGGGGTTGGCCTGGCCACGTTTCCTGGATTCTGTCTCCTGACCCACAGGGGAGGAGGTCATCCTGTGCACCCTGCCCTGTCCACTTGCCCACCCACCATCCAGGGAAGGAGGCTGGTCTGTGAGGGTTGGGGAGTGAACGCTGGAGGCCGCGGTCTGGAAAAAGGGGGGGGACGCTCTGAGTGGACAGATGTGGCCCAGACCAGCTTCCCCACTTGTCTGGGGTTGAGCCCCAGGGCCCCGACCCTCTAAGGGACGCAGAGCAGTATCTAGAGCAGAGCCTCCCTGCAGCCTGCCCCGGCTCTGTGATGTCCCCAGCCATGGTGGGTGTGTCAGGATCATCCCGCTTCTCCTGGGCCAGGGGTTGGTCAGAGATGGCTGGGGAGCAGATATGTCATGCCTCAAGAGCCCGGAATCCAGTACAGGCTGAAACGCACCGGGAGGCCACAGATACATACCAGGCGGGGCTGCTTTCAGGGGGCTGGGGGGTCTGGCTGAGTATTTTCAAGGGAGCATACGGGTAGCCCCCCAACCGCTGACTCTCTGTCTACACCTGTCAGAAAGGCCACCACTTTTGGAGAATGTGCTCAGGGAAAGACACATTCCTTTCCTGCTCCCCCTGCTCTGTCCCCAACTCTGAGCACAGTTTTCCAGGTTTGTGACAGGGGGTCCCGGGGGCCCCCTCATTGGGTGGGGTGGGCTCCAGAAAGTGGGACTTGGTTGCATTTCCTGAAGAGGTTAAGGAAGGTGCTGGCAAGGCCCCTACTAGCTTTGAACACACCAGATCCAGTGAAAACAGCCTGCTTCTAGAAAACACTGTGTCCAGGAAAGGGGGATGGGGCACCTCTGAGCTCTGGCTTGGGGTTGGAGATGGCCACTTTCACCTTTTCACTATGATCCTTCTCCTGCAGCCAGGAAAGTAAAGGCAGGAGGGGAAGAGGCAGACATGGGTCTCTCCTCCAGGCAGGTGAAGTGGAGGGTCTGGAGGGGGAGGTAAGAGGAACAGGGAGAGGAGGAGGAAGAGGGCTGGGTCTTTCCCACCATGGTAGCTCATTAGTGAGGCCAGGCCTGGAGTGGCTGAAAAGGGTTTCTCACAGACACTAGGTCTGTGAGACAGGGGAACAATGTCACCCGCTGCCACCATCAAGGGCGGAGGGAACTCGAGGCTAAAATTCAACTTGCTTTGTCCCAAGTTCCCTGGCTTGGTTAACGCCATCCCACTTACCAGTTACCTAAGCCAGAAAGCTGGGGCTCAGCTCCCCTATTTTGTTGCCGGAGTTGCCCCCTAATCCATCCCCACTTCTCCCCTCTCCACGGTCTCCACTCAAAAGGCTGAAGACAAAGCGTCCCTGCCTCCACCTTTCTGAATCACACAGCTGAAGGCTCCCAGGAGCAAGTCCCACTGAAACCGATCACAAGCACCGCCCACCTTTCCCGCCCTCCTGCTGCCCGCCCACATCAGGGGTTCTAACTCCTACCCCACACCCTGAGCGGAAGGATACTGGCCCCCAAACCCCAGGTGCCTGTTCCAATCTCCATTCCTGTACTGGGCATCCTGTCACCCCGAATGGCACTCGGTCTCAGTCCTTTCTAAGCACACAGAGGGCGGCCAGGATGGGCGTCTCAGCATCTGAAACCTTCCACCCAGTCTCCTCTCCCGTGGGGCCTCACCCTGCTGCCCCAGGGCCCTCCTCCCAGCCACTCCTCCAGTCCTGCTTAAACAGGAGCCCGGGAGAAGCTGGATCCTCCGGGACTCCTCGGTGAAGCTAGGGCCGGCCTTGCCTGGAAAGACCTGCAGAAAGAGCTCCAAGTGGCACAAACCCTGCTGCTCCCCAAGGAACTGTCCCCGGCTCCTTTCTCAACCACCCTTGGCCCCACGCCGGCACCGAGCCCTCCATTCCCGCCTGTCCCGCTCCGGGGAGGGCCAGACACAGACTCAAAGTCAGCTTCCACAGCGGGCCTCCTTTCTCCCCCTCCTTTGTCAAATAATTAACGTCAGACTCCCAGATGCCAGGGCAGCCGCGCTCTCTCCCGCTACAGGCCGGAGGAATCCCCCTTTCCTGAACCCCCTGCCTTGGCTCGGGTCTTCCCTACCCTGCTCGCTTCCCCGGGGGGAGGACGGAGAGGACGGGGCTGGCCTGGGAGGCACGCGAACCTCAAGCAGGGCTAAGAGAAGCAGCCCCCGGCCCTGCTCAGCCCCCTCAGGCCGGGCTGATAGGAGGCGGGGCGCACCCAGCCGGACCCCCAGTCTCCCGCGCCCGGACTCACCTCCCGCTCCCGCGCCCGCGCCCGCGCCCGCGGCCAGCGCCAGGCCCCCGAGCTGCAGGAGCAGGGACAGCACAGCGGCCCCGGCCCCAGCCATGCTAGCTCCGCCTGGCTCGCTGGTCGCAGCTCAGGAGGCGCTGGGGGAGGTGGAGTGGGGACACACAGGCCGCTCCCACCCAGGCTTTGTTCAGGGAGGGCTCAAACCCCCACCGCGCGCCTTTCCCATGGACACCTCCACCCGCCCTGGCCCCGGCGGTCTTGACCTCAGAGAGCAGCTCCAGCTGCAGGAAGCCAGCGAGGTTGCAAGCCCTGTCTCGGCTCAAGATCCAGGAGGGAACTCTGAAAAGAAAAGAAACTCAAGTCCACCCCTCTCGGGCTCTGCGGCAGTCTCCCTGCCCTTTAGGTTACTCCATCGCCTGCGGTTCCCAGATTGATTTTTCCTGTCTCACAAGTTTACAGGAGAAGGAGCCTGAGCTGGGTTTAAATCCCTGCTCGGCCAATTCCATGTGGTCTTTGATCACTGACTTCTCTGTGCCTCAATTTTCCTATCCGTGAACTGGGGATCACCACATTTACCTTATAGACTTGCAGTGAGCATTAAGGGAGATTATTTAGTTGGTAGACACATGGTTAATGCTCAGTAAATAACAAATAATAACAATAAGTGCTACTCCTCATCTCTGAAATCAAAGACAACCAGTGTATTGCTCTCTCCACCTGTAAGTTTCTTTCCTGGACTCCACTCAACACCCCTCCCCACCCCAGCAGTCCCAGGCTTGGCCCCAGATGCCAAGGCCGCCCTTCAATGGCTGCTCTCAGCCCATTTCCCACTCCTGAGCTCAGGCCTGGCTGTGAAGTGAGCCTGGGTAGGGGGCAGGGCCGGGCCCTGGCTCAGCAGGCAGAGGGGCCAAAGGGAGGAAGTGAGGACAGCTGTCCACAGGGGCACTCTGGGCTGGGAAACTCCTCTGTGCAGCTGGGAAGCAGAGGGTTGGGTCTGGAGCTCACAGGCAAAGAGGGACATTGAGGGCGGAGCTGTGAGCCCTACCAAAGCTCTCTCTCCCTGCCATAACAATCAGAAGTCAGAAGCCACCCCTCCCTTGGCCCCGACAGGACTGAGGTCTCCCCAGCCCATTCTCCACAGAGCTTAGGGCTATAAGTGAGGAGAGGGCAGCTTCTCTGCCCCAGAGTCTGGGCCGGGCCCCTAGTGGGCCTAAGCCTTTGCCACAGGGGGCGGGGAGGCTGTCATGTCACACTAAGACCTGGCCTCAGCTGGAGTCACAGAGGAAAGCCAGGGCCAGCTGGCCAGAAGAGGACAAGGAAGTGGCAGTGCTATTCCCAGCAGGTTTGAGGAAGGTGGCCTCATTTACCGGGTGCTTCTAGAAGGCAAGTCCTCCAGAAGGCTGGGTTTCGGGACAGTTCAGAGTACAGACTGTGGCAGGGTTGCCAGGGCACACCACGGAGCTCATGCTTTCTGCTGTGGGACCTCTGACAGGTCACCTCACTTTCTGGGGCTGATTTTTCTGAGCTCTGACTGGAGCTCTAACAGCACCCAACTCGTGGAGTGTTTGTAAGGGTTAATACCACATGGTGCCTGGCACAGAGGTATGAGTGCTTATTACTTTCTTTACAAAGAATGGGGCACCTCCCTCCCCATTTTACAGAAAGGAATCAGTGAATGGGGTGAGTAGCTCTAAACCACACTGGGAGGATGCACAGGTCTTCCCTGGCCCCACAGCCGGTCCTTTGTGCCCCGGCCTCTGTCTCTGAGCCTGGCCCCAGTCTGCCCTCATGTCACATTCCCAGGGAGGGACACTGTCCTGAAACAGACAAGGCCCTCCAACCCCTGGGGCACGGTGTGGGGGGAGGCTCTGCCTTCACCCCCAAGGCAGGTGTTTGTAGTGTCTGATTCTATGCGTGTGTCTGGGTGTGGCATGTGTGTGTGTGTGTGTGTGTGATGTGTGTTTGGCTGGAGGTGGGGGCCAAAGCTGGGGAGGCACTTCTGGGATTCAAGGGACCTTGACTTTGAAGGGGCTTCCAGGGACACTTTTGTCACCCCACTTGATGATGAGGATGTAGTCCCCTTTCTCCTTGACAGTGTAGGTGACGTTGTACACCCGGTTCCTCATGTGCTTCACGTACACCTCCTCACAGGGGGTCTTGGGCCCGTGCACACTCGCCATCATCATGTTGGTGCCCGGAGAGGGAGGCAGAGGGCCGGGCTCACACCAGGGAGGCCCCAATGGGAACCCACACTCTGCTCCCAGATGGCTTCTTGCTCCCAACCCAGAAGACGCCCTCCCCCTCCACCTGCCTGCTTTGCTGCAGTCCACGGTGAAGGAGTTCTTCTGGCCCACGAAAGCCTGGGACAGCCCAGGCCCCCGAGTCACCACCTTGCTGGCATCCGAGGAGAACTTGGGGATGGAGCTGTAGCTGGAGCCCTGGCTTGAGGAAGACTTGGTCACAGTCTCCACAAGAACCGGGAACTCAGGCCAAGTCACAGGGTAAGAGTCACTTTGCAAAGGAACACCCACCCAACCCATCCTATAGACAGTACCGGGAAGGGGAGCTTGCTCAGTACTGACTGTGTCTTCCTGGAGCCGAGGAATTTGGGAAGCCAGGAGGGAAGAAAGGGACGCTAGAGCCTCAGGAGCCAGCAAAGGCCAGAGATGAAGGAGGGCCAAGATGGGAGGAAGAATGGGATATGCACACGGTCACTCGAGGCTCCACAGAGTGTGTGCTGTGTGGAGCCGGGCCCACCTCTATCCCTGGTAACTGACTGTGATGTCTAGGGAAGACTATGGCCTGGATGTGGGTGGCCACCGAAGCCCTCCAGGCTGGACTGGACTGCAGGCTGGGTGGACCTCCCCCGAGCTGGCACTCACCTGTGACCCCCAGCTGCCCACAATGTGCTGGGGGCCATCATACTTGATGGCAATGAGGTAGTTGCCAGGGGCCGTGGGAGTGTAAGTGACCACGTTGTCCTCGGGACATTCCTGACAGTCCAGCTGCACCTTGGAGGGGCCATCAATGGTGACAGACATGGCCCGTGAGCCAGTGTTCAGGGTGTTCATGATGAACTCTAATGACACACCTGGGGGTCAGAGGTAGCAAGGCTGAGGGCAGGAGGGGCTTGTGGCCCAAGAGGGGCCGGGCCCCAGCTCCCTGGGTATTCTCCCTGGGGAGCTGCCACTGCCCCACACCCAGCCTGGCCCTTGCCTGCCAGCCCAACATGCAGGCAGGAGGAACCAGGGTCTGGTGTGCAATCCTTAGTGCATACCTGCTCTGAGGGGTACCAGCCTAGCTGTTTTGGGTACCAGGCAAATGAGAGATGATGTGTCCTGTCCTGGCTGAGGAAGGCAGGGCCCCACACTGGGAAGCAGAAGGCAAGTGCCTGATGGGCTGTGTCAGCTGTGGGCACATGAGCACTCAGATGTGGGAGGCTGAGTATGGCTGGACTGACCCAGGAGGGCTTTGGGGAGGAGGTGGGCCAACAGGGAGGACTGGAGGGCTCTAGGGGAAGGGGAGATGAGCTTGTTGGGGGAGCCCCAGAACTGGAGTATGAGGAGGCGATTCACAAGGGCTCCTGATGGGCTGGGAAAATCTCACAGCCAGTCCCAGGGCCCCACTGGAGTCCTAGGAGACAGTTCCCTCACCCCAGGAGCTGCAAGGCTTGGGCACCAGGGGGCCAGTCGGGGAGGAAGTGCCACAGCAT